GTTAAGTCTTTAACAACCGTTAAAAAATCTTGACGCGTACTTAATGTCAAAATTAATTGTAATTCTAGATTCGAAAAGAATTTACGAGATCAAGGATAAAGTTATTACAATAATTTCGACGATGTGGCCTTAACCTATTTTTTTTCATCTATCGTTCGACTTTTGTATGCTTTTTGTGTATCGTATTGTTCGTTGGAGCGTCAAAGCGTGACATTTGAAAAAAAAAAACGGACATTATGTTGGAACAGATTCGAACAGACGAGCCCATATTCTGGAACCTGCCGAGAGGATCACAAAAAGGATTGCATAGGAGGTATAGCTAGAGTCTACACTGCAGTTAATCAGCTCATGAAAGAACGACCGAATGCGATTTTCCTGAATGCCGGCGATTACTTTCAAGGAACTCTTTGGTATAATATCTATCGTTGGAACGTCACTGCAGTGTTTATGAATATGTTGCCACACGATGCTATGGTAATTATATACATATAGTATAGTACGTGTAAGATTTTTTACATGTTTATATAAAACAGGAAAGAAAGAGAGAGATTTGTATATATACTGATATGCATATAAAATAATAATTAAAGAAAATATAAAAAAAGTTTAAAATATTATGACGAAAGATTAAATTTAATAAATAACTTACTATTCTTCAAAATTTTAAATTTTTTACATTTATGATGTAATAATATTTTATAATATTTTTGTAGACGATCGGTAACCATGAATTCGACAATAAAATCGAAGGTGTGGTTCCCTTTCTTAAAAATGTCAAAGCACCAGTTGTAGTAACAAATATCGATGATAGCGAGGAGCCAACTATACAGGTTTGTAATTTCTATTTATTTTTTTTTTATAAGAGTATACATTTGGTCTAATTTCCTTATATGATTATATTATATAATTTATTACATGATTATATTTTTGTGTTTATATAAGAATAGCACAATTATTGTAAGAAACGGTACCAAAATTGGTATCATTGGCGTCATTTTATCGACTACAAACGTGAGTAATCAATTATATTCTTATTATAAATTAGAAGAAATTTATTTGATTTTATTTAATAATATGTGATTTTTTTAGTAATTTAATTTATATAT